CCTCTTCCCCACAACCATCCCTTTTAATAATTTGACATATATATCCTATGCTCGCTCAAGACAGACTCGATGAGCTAATTGCAGTGGTATGTGGGTCAGAGCTCTGCCCTCCTGAGCACCAGCCTTATTGATTTCGGTGGTTACTCCTGATTTGCACCTGAATAATTGAGAAGGGAGTTGGGTTGAATGGGTTATAACTATTTAAAATGGTACAGTTTGGAGGAATACACAAGTGTGCAAACAAAACTTGAGGACGCAGCCTAGATTCCCTCACTTGTTCATAGCCTGTGGGCTTCATTAGACCCTTCTGACTTTACCTAATTTTGGTGTTATTCCCTAGCCATTACATCATGAATGTGAAGTGGAGACAGGGTCATTCTCTTCTATGTTGTCATCATGTAAGGGATTCACATGGTTTTCATAGGGCATAGGCCGTATTTGAACAGGTTTCAACTATTTTAAGTACCCTTGGCCGTGCTGGGGTTCACACTGGAAGATTCAGTCTTTCCAGAGAGTAAATTTTACTCACCCATCAGATGCGATATATGCTGTGAACTATGGAAATGCGCTTTGCCTAAGTTCGTAGCACCAGAGCAACTAAACTGTCCATCACAGACACTGGTCCCAGCCTCGGTGTGTCTGTATACCCTTCCTCTTCATTAACTGGAAATGCTTTCAGGTGCTGAGAATGGTTTCCCTGGCTTTGTAATTGCATCAGAAAAAAAGTGCAACAAAAGCAACAGGATCTGCTCTGAGCGCCCTTTCCCCAGGAAATCTGTTTTAGCTGGCCTGCTTCAAGATGCCCTTGGGCAGCATAAGCGGCTGTAATTTCTTTTTCTCTGCAGTTCCTTTCGCATGTTTTTTACCTGGGAAAAAAAGAAAAGCAATGGTGGATAGACTCAAAGTGTCCAGTCCTTCTGCACCTTCCTTGTGTTTTCCCCTTTATCTCTTTATTTATCTGAAACTGGCTGGCGCTTAGGATTTTGTGGTAGGTACATGTAAACCTTAGACTTCTACAGGTGCCCTCTTTCTCCTTTCTTTCTCTGTGCTTTTCTGGCTCCTGTCCTCCCACTCGCAGGAAATATTTGAAAGATAATTTGGCATATTTTCTGCCACCTTCACATATCTCCCTGACTTCATGTTTTCTTAGCTGGAAGATAGCTTTTCAACATATATATGTAATCCTTTTCACCTAGACATGTGAGGAATTCCAGTCTCTTCCAGTGGGAGTTTTCAGGAAGGTTTAGGTTAAATGGGCCAATAAGGCAAAAGCATGTAGCAGAAGATCTCGCCCTCTAAAGACATCTTTTCTATTTCGCCCTTTTTTTTTTCCCTCTGGAAATGTATCAGAATATCTAGCTGTCAAAGAATTTAAACAATAATACCTGATCTGAAGGCTAGAGTGCAGGGCTTTTGAAAATAAAGATTGTAATCTCTCTACGGTATATCCAAGGACTAACGGAGCTGGAAGTCAGGTGTCTGGAGCAGCAGACTGCTGTGGGGACACTGCTCCGGCTTGGTGAGACTGATTTTACCTTGGCTCTCAATGGAAGTTCTCTTGGATTTTCCCTGGTGCTTTCATTGTGGCCATAGTATCTTTATCATAAAGACAAGACAGCAAACCAAGTCCACTTTAACTTGAATCCTGGTGGTGGTGACTGAGCTTTTCCCCTGCTGCGTTTGAGCTGGGTAGGAGACCTCTGCAGCCCCTTTTGCTGGGGCACCCTCCATCCCCCAGAAACTCTGGTTACAGCATTCAGGGCTGGGATTCATCCCACCTGGTTTTAGCTGAGTAGATGTGTTGTTCAAGGTCTGTGCCTGGGCTCCTGAGAGAATTTAGGCGGTTGTGGAAAGCAGAAGCAGCTGTAAGGGGCGCCTTAGGCTGGGAGCCAACTGGCTTACGACCCCAACCCTAAAGCCTCACTGATCTCTCTTGTAAGAAAGAAGGTCAAGGATCCCTAGAAGTAAGAACATGTTTCCCACATCTTAAGACTCAGATTTTTCAGAAGTGGGCACCTATGGGTGGCCTTAGCCTGTATGTTGGCAGCTAGGTTGAGGGTGGGAAGCAGACAGCATCTGCTGACCCTCCTTCCCTCTGCTCCTCACTCCTAGACATCAGGTGCAGGATGATCTCTGGGGCTCATAAGCCTCCTCGGGCACTGGGGTGTGGATGCTGGTGTATTTACTGGGGTGGGTGTCACACTGGATGCTTGCCCTTCCGCTGCTACTTAGTCCGTGCTGTGGCACTAGCCCGGGTGCTGGTGTAACCTTTGCAGCCCGCAGGAAAGGTAACTTCCATTTAGTTCTGAATTATGACATTATTTTATTAGATCTTTAAACTTTATTTAAATTCTTTGTTTAAAAAAGGGGAGGAAGGTATCATATTTTAATTAGTAGTGGTGTCAAAGGAGACCTAGATTAATTATTTGAAATCACTCCATCCAGATGGTTTTAATTTTCACAGCAGGGAACCGGCATCTTTTTAAGGTGATATTTTTCAAATTAAAATCAGCTTGGATATTACTCATACTGGCTGCAGAGTGAGGGGGTGGGGAACACGAGCTGGCGTGCCCCGTGTTTGTCCATCTGAGCGCGGGCTGCCAGTGGGGACCCGTGTCGGAGAGGTGCGGGTTGCCGACTCCCCACCGGGACCGCAGCTCACGGCTCTCACACTGGGAGTGTTTTATCAATGTTAGCTCCTCCTTTGGCTGGCCAAAACTGGTATCTGATATTCAGCGTTATTCTTAGCAGCTTTAGTCTCCGCACTGATGGGGGATGCCTTGCAGCTCAGAAGGGAACTTGCTGTGTCCTGTTCTCACGTGTGTGCAAGCTGTGGAGGCCTCACTTGACCCCTTTGGTGGGTGGTCCCAGGTCCGTTTGTGTGCCTGAGTGGATTTGACACTGTAGATCTCTGGGCGACTCCTTGGCACTCTGGGTGTTGGCTGTGGTTCTTGGGCCAGTCTTTGGGGCTTCTTGTTCTGGCTTCATAACATTCCCTCGTGTGCAGGCTGCTGCTCTCCCCCTCTGAGGTTGACCGTTAGTCTTCTGCTCATGTGAGGGGACACCTTTCACAGTTACCTCTTTAAAGACAGGCATACCTTTGGCTGTTCCCTTCTCTATTAATGCTGCATTGCATCTGAGCAGCCTCCCTGAACTTCTTGGAGCAGTGGGCATTCACCAAGTTATATACCACGTTGGTCAGCCTCCCCTTGAAGACTTGTCTCTGACCCTGTGCCATCCTCCCCCATACTGGCTTGGCTCATCTTGATATCCTTACTGTGACAGGATATTTCTAGTTCGTGTGGCCCTTCCTCACCTAAGTGGTCACTGGTCTGATGCCCCCTTGGCAGGTGTGGATAGAAGGCCTGCAGCACCCAGTTGTCTCTTGCAAGCTGCTCTGCATCACAGATACCCAGAAACATGGCACGTTTCTGAAAGACTTAGATAAATGTCCATATTTATGCGTGATTGCAAGTAATATTGTGCTATAATACAGGCATTATCCCCCTTGCTGTCAGAAAGAAGTTATTCTTTAAATATCCCCCGTGATAACAGGTTTAAGAAATACATCTAAAGAAATGTAAGCAGCTAGTAACTGGAAAACCCTGAACTTGCATATGCGAAGGGAAAACTCCATTTAGGGCCCTTGTGAGTTAAAGGTTTGTGATATTTGCACTGATGCAGAAGCCAAAAGCTGACTTTACAAGTGGGAAAAATATTAATGTGTTTAAATGAAACAAACTCCTATTTCTATCCCCATGGTAAATCCTTACAGTGAACATATTTGCTCTTAGAGGGTTTTAAAGTTTGAAATATGAATGCCAAAAAGAATGCGACTTTTTGCAGCACAGATCAAACATTCTCCAGAGTTTGGCAAAAGCCGTGTTTCTACGGTAAGGCTCGGGTCTTACAAGCGTGAGTATTTCCAGAGCAGGATCGTGGATTTGCACTTGCTGACACTTAACATTCTTGCATTGTGTTTCGACCATGTCTCCTTTCTCCCCCTCCGTATCGGAGATGGATCTGAACCAAAATGTCCAGTCTGCCTGTTCCTGCCTCTCCAGGGAAATTCTTGGAATCCAAACCTCGAGCATGACTGGAATTCATGTTTAGATCAGACTGAATAAAATGCTGAATTTGGATGTGTCTAGGTTTTTGCGATGATGATGATTCTATGCTACACATCTGGGTGGCAGCTCAGCCGCTTTGGCAAATACAGTTGTGCCAGGGCAGGTGGTTTATGAAGATGCTGGAGAAATCTGCTCTCTGCCATGGCTTATGGCAGTGCTGCAAACCAACTCTGGCCTCAATAAACGTGCAAGGCACTATGCGATTGGCACACATTTCTCCCAGCTAGGGCAGGATTCACGGACCCGGACTGCCAGAAAGCAATTAGTGACGTCCTGGGAACGTAGCTAGACACACAGAGGACATCTGCAGGGCGGGTGTTTATCGGACAGAACAAGCAGTGACTAATTTCTCCCCAGCTAGCTCTTGCGGTGATCTTCAGGAGACCACTGCGATGTTTTGCACCATGAACGTGTGGCTGGACCACTTCTGTGCAGTGTGTGAGGGCTGCTAGCTGTGGGAAAAGGATTTTCATTCTTGTCATGCTTATCTTTTAACTTCATGAGAATAAAATTCATGTTCTTACCCTCCAAGAACCCTTCTGCAGTGTGAAGGAGAGCATTAGCATTGAGTTTGATATTGCTGATGGGGTGGCATCATGGAGCGTACATGCGTGTATGCATAGTCTGTGCTAAACTGGCGTTCGGTCTGGAGCATCCACCTAGGAGTCAGTGGAGACATGTCAGATGTGCACCTGTGACCAAGCCTGGAGCTCAGCCCTTGGTGGGTTCCTTGGGTTGTTCCCTTGCAGAGCATCCCAGCATGGTGTGGTTCAGGTAGAGGTAATGGGACAACGTGCTGATGAGTTTTGCACACTCTGACTTAATGGGACCACATTGGTAAATGCTTTTTTTTCCTTCTTCCTTTACAAGCCCAGCTTCTAGTGGAAACAGACACTTTTGGCAGTCAAGTCCGGATCAAAGGGAAGGAGACAGACTTCTACCTTTGCATGAACAGGAAAGGCAAGCTAGTGGGGAAGGTAAGTGTTTCCTATTAATTCATTTGTAACATGAGTGTTACCTTTAGCAGCCTCCTCAAGGCTGTAATGATGTGTTCGAGCTTTGCCTGTCAGCCTCAAATGAAAAGCAGGATGGAGGGGATGTGGGGTTTGCAAGGCAGCCCGTGCCCTTCCTGAGCCCTCCCCCATGTCCATAAAACTCTCTGATGTTGCTTCGGATGTGGATGGGTTTGCGCTTCGCGCTTGTGTTAAATTGACGTGAGGTGGCATCTCGGCATCCCAGTGTTGTGGCCACTTCCACCGTAACTTTGTTAGTTGCTCTTTCTTTGGAGGAAAACTCAATGTAAAAGGGTAAGGGGAGGACTGTGCTGGGGAGGTTAGTTGGTTAGTGCTGGGGAGGTAGGCAACATAAGGCTCCTTTCAGTGGTGAGCCAGGGGATGGTATGGCAGAGCTAATACTGGAATCCGAACATCGTACTGGGGCTGGGCCTCACGGTTCTAGCGTTACAGGAATATTTTATTACTTTGGATCCCCCGCACAATGGAAGCATGTTACAAATTACAGTGTATTCACCCATCTAGCTTAACTTCTTTGCTGAAGTCATATTTTTTATGTATTAACTTGTTTTTGTAACTTAGGCGGTTCTTCTGTATTGTTGGCGAACCTAGAAGCTTGCTAACCACGCAGGAGCTTGCTCAAAGCTAAAATATCACCAAAAAATAAATGTAAAATAAAATATCTCAGCCCTCAAAGACCCCCTCCTCCACTGCCCGCACTTTGCACCACTAGAAATTAAAATCTGGCATCTTTGTGGCTGTGAAAAAGGGAAGCTGAGTTTTGTTTTGAGTCAACACAGCGAAAGCCACGCTCCCAAACAGAAACCAGGAACCACATTGCTCTGATGAAACATTATTTACTTTTGTGGTCCTGGGAGTGACACTTGTGGGACAAGTGCCTTCCCCGGAGGATCCCTCCTGCCACTTTTGTTTTCCTCACGAGCAGTGCGGATGCTTCTGTCAAGACTAAGCCCAGATCTTCCGCGGGCAGCCGCTAGCCGTGGCAGCCTGCCTGACCCACTGCGGAGCTGCTTTGGCGAAGCAGCAGCATCCAGGATGCTGCTCAAAATCGGTGGGGACTTGGAAATTGGTGTTCCGGGAGGGCTGGACCAAAGCAGCCTGTTCTCTCTGTTTCCTGCACTTCTGTGGTGCAATTACTGCTCTGAATGAGGCACCCTTGTTTGATTTTTGGACAAGGAAACTTGTTTTTTAACCAGATTTAGACCTCTCGGGATACACATGGATGCTTTTCAAGATTGCACTGAACACTAACCTGGCCTTTGGGGGTTTTTTTGTGCCTTAATTTTCTATTCTTTAAATACGATAATAGCATTTTTCCCTGAAATGTTGTAAGGATACTTTTGTTGATGTTCATGAGATGCTGATAGCACAGTAATGGAGACCTTAGAAGCATTCGAGTTAGACGGGGTAAAATGAGCATGAAATCTTACCTTTTTCTGTAGTAGACCTTGCCCGGGGTGGATCAGCAGTGGTACATGGTGCGACTCACACCTTTTCCTGGTCTGTGCTGAGTGTCCAGGAGCATCCTGGCAAAGCCAGAGGCTGTTTTTCAAAACGTGTAGTATATTTTGGCAAGATTCATCCCTTGATTTGGCCCATTGGGCAGCAGTGCAGGACAGTTCTTTAGCTTGTCACCTTTCAGGCAGTGTAAAGCTTTTGGTTTTTGTTGTGGGTTGGTTTTTTTTTTTTTGGCGTGATGTGCTTTTCATAACGTTAAGTTGGCAAATGGTTTGTTAAAAATAAATAAATAAGTCTATTCTTGTAAATACGAGTCTTCCCACCCCAGACTGCTGACAAGTTCACAAACCAGCCGACCTGAGCAGGAGGGGGTATGGAGCATGGCGTTTGGAAGGAAAATGTTCCAGACACGTTGCCCATATTAACAGCTTCTCATGAGCAAAAAAAGAAAATAATAGCATGTCTTCTTGATACCAAAGAGTGTGGTTTTAATTAGTATCATAGTTTCAGCTCTTTTTGTGGCAAGAGTTTGAGGGAATGCTTTTTAGCTTGAATGCTCTAAACAGCTAGTAAACCCCAAGGAAAACATTAGATAAAAGTTACGCCTGGGCTTATACAAATATTTAAGTTCAGTCTGGGGGTGGAGGGGAAAGAAACCCATAAACTGATTGTTTCACGGTCGCCCCAGTATGTTCATTTGGCAAGAGAGGAGCCATGGGACCAAACTGGGTCTTTTTCTCTGCTCATTTCCTATTGCCTTACACTGCATAATCCCTAACAATACCAGCATATGCCATCTGGCTTTGTTCTCCTCCTCAGTCAGCAGTTTTGGATCCCCCCCAGTTGAAAACCTGCTTTGAATTTAGTCTTTTTTGTTTCCCATAATCACCTACAAACGGTATTACAGACCGGAGCAGGTTGTCGTTCTCAGCTGAAACTGGTGACAAATGCAAGAGCTCCAGAGACGGGGCTTGCTCCCCACCTCGGAGCCAGTTGTGTTGCAGGCAGAGTAACACGCAGGGCTGAGAAGAGCAGCCTTTGTGTCTTTTTATGTATTTATCAGAATTTACACCTACGCCAACATTTCTGAGTGGAGGCCATCTGATGGAGCTCTCTCAGGAGCCCCAGACGTTGTGTTTTCTCTCTTGCTTGGTTGTTACCGCGTGTGTGTTCACGGCCAACGTTGGTCAAAGGGCTCGAAGGTGTTTTGGGCAGGCTTCTAACTTTATTATCACAGCATGCAACTGCTGAGGTCACCGATGCTCTACGTGCTGCTTATGAAAACTGGAGGCAGGGCAGGTGTTGTACAGGGAGTGACTTTTCTGTTAAAGGCAAGCAGCACCAGGGGAAAACAAATTGGATTGTGTTTCTTCGTTGATTCTTGGTGTTATGTTGAAGAAGGACCAAGAAACATTTAATCTTATTATTTTCCTTCTAACTGTAATTTTTTTTTTGCGTGTGGGTTTTTGGTGCCTTTCTGTATACACATGTGGAAATTGTAGCTCCTGAGTTATCTGATTTTGATGAAGTTCTCTATGGACCACTGGACTTTAGAATCATAGAATAGTTTGGGCTGGAAGGGACCTTTTGAGGCCATCTAGTCCAACCGAACAGGGACACCTTTAGCTGGATGAGGGTGCTCAGAGCCCCCTCCAGCCTGGCCTTGAATGTTCCCAGGGATGGGGCACCTACCACCTCTCTGGGCAGCCTGTGCCAGTGTTTCACCCCCCTCATTGTAAAAAATTTCTTCCTTATATCTAGTCTAAATCTGCCCTTCTTTAGTTTAAAACCATTACTCCTTGTCCTGTTGCAACAGGCCCTGCTAAAAGACTGCCTCCATCTTTCCTCCAAGCCCCCTTTACTGAAAGGGTGCAATAGGGTCTCCTTGGAGCTTTCTCTTCTCCAGGGTTTATGGTGGAGTTATATTACAAAGAGAAAGATTAAAACATGGAAACTCAGAACAGGAATATTAGGTGTTTTTCTCAAAAATTTGTCTTTTTTTTTTTGGTTGGTTGTTTTTTTAATTATTATTCCTATTTATTTCTCTCAAGCTTCTTACAAACACAGGAGAGAAGGGGACTCTGAAAGGTTCAGCTCTCCTTCCAAGAAGAGGCACACTGTGACTTGTCCACTTGTGACAAGGCACAACATGAGTGGTCACCTAGAACACAAGAACTCTGAATATTTGCAATAATTCCGTGTTAGGGAAGAAGAGAACCTAATGGTCTCTTTGGAGGAGCTCTGAGTTTCTAACTGTGGTTCTCCTGGGGAGTCCCTCTGTGGTTTTTCTCTCTGCCTCAGCTTCTCTTATCTTGTGTGTTGAGATAAGGATATCAGTAAAGTGGGGACTTCATGTTTGTAGAAGGCTGTGAAAGGTAAGTCTTTTAAGTCTCTGGAGCAAGGAATAGCAGCCTGGGGTGTGAGCAGGTGGCTGTTAATCAGCTTGGCCACCTCTAGCTGCTCTTGCTGAGCCTGTCCTTACAGCAAATCCATGCTCCCTAGAATTGCAGGACGACGCAGAGATTGCCTTTCTCTGCCCTGTCCCAGTCCCCTCGTCAGGAGAGAATTTGCAAGCGGTCAGTGATCTCTGCGAAGCTTTAACTGGATCTGTTGGGACCATTGCAAGATGACCAAAGCCCTGCCCCTTCCTTTAGGCACTGCTAGGGCTAGTGGCTGGTATGTGGCGACCAGAACATCTCTAACCCCCAGGCAGCGTTGCTGCGGAATTTCCTGTGGTTCTCTACCAGCTACCTATGGGGTCATGCAGTCTGGTCAACACTGGCACTCGGGTTATAGCAGGTATCCGTAGGGAGGGTATTTTGCACTCCCAACTATAAAGGGAGAGGAGAGACTAGGCCTGTTTTTCTGGACTGACCAAGGGCAGAGGAGAGTGGACTTTGGCTTCCTGCGAAGCTGCCAAATGGGAGGAGAGGCTGCTTATTGCAGACCGTGGCAAGGGAGACATCAGTTTTCAGAACAAGATGTAGAAACAGGAAAGGTAAGTGATGACTGGAAGGAATCCAGAAGATTTGAGAAGACTGGGGAAAGAGCTAAGCACATCTTTGATTTGGTCCAGAAGTTTCTTCAGAAGATGCTCCAAGCAATCCCACTGATGTTCTTCTGTGGCATTAGGTGGATTACATCTTTTCCAGATCCAGCAGCAATATTGTTCCCTGTTGGTTTCCTTTTGAGAACAGGTCCATCTCTCAGTGCGTTAAGTCACTCCCTGACCTCTTCCAGGAAGGAGAAGCAGGTGGTGGGTGCTGGAGCAGTCTCCTCAGGGTGGGATGGGACTTAAAGTGCAGGTGGAATCAGGGCAGCGTGGCCACTGTCAGTTGTGTGCTGCGCTCCCATGTAATGCTGCACACATGACTGTAACCTTGATACTGCGAGTCTGCCCAAAACTCGTACACCACTGTAAATGGGGGCAAGTCCTTCTTCTGACGTAGGATGTGGCTACGGAGAAAACTCTAGAAATAGGGGCA